AGATAGAAAACAAGTGAAAAGAATTCAATTCCAAAACTATGTCAAATATGATACAAAACTCTCAGATATTTATAGTTTTTAGTAAAAACATAATCATCAATCTAGTCATCCAATCTGTATACAGTGGTTTATCTAATAAGGAAGTTATACATCGAGGTTCTGGAATATTCTTCCAAAAGATGATTGGATGGAATGTCTTCGGCCCTTTCTGATCTTATTAGAGCTTCCTTGAGTTCACTCGTGAGTCATCCTCACATCGTCTTAAGTAGAAAAATTTGATTTGATCAATAGATATTTGGTTTGGTATTTAACATTTAAAATTCACTCTATTTATATCTTGTTTGTATTAAACAACTACGTCTTTTCACAGGTGAGATAACGAGTCGATCTAAGATAGATTACCATTGAAAACTTAGGAGTACTGGATAGTCCCTTCGTCCTTGTATGGCACCCTTCATCAACGTGTGTCCACGACTCCGCATCAAAAGGACACGAACTCAGGACCTCCGATGTCGTGCGTGAATGCTGGAACTCTAGACTACTGAGCCAGCATCCAAAAGTGTTAATATCTACCGTCCATCGATCCATGATCTCGCGCAACCCTTCATCCATTGTCTGAGGTATTGTCATTCATGTAATGAAGAATTGAGACACTATCGAGTTTTTATAATAGTTAAATTGTAATGTATTTATTTAGTTGAATAAATAAACATTGGTACAAGGATGCACCAAATATATATGCACCACACAAATCATTAATTTGTGTGAGGGCTGTAATACTGCCCGAGTGCCCAAACCGAAACAGCTGGTTTGCTTAGGGGGTCACACCTGGAGCCTTTAACCCAGAGGTCTAACCCATAAGGCAGTGAGGCGACGTAAGGAAATGAGACCTCATGGTAACCGGTGACCAACGATTGGTTTGTACAAAATTTGTTCCTTCAGGATACTGGAAAAAGACCATGTGTACCATTGGTTTGGAATCAGGGCTTTCCAACTCCCTTAGCTGGATTCTCCGTGTCCACCAACACGGTTAGAGAGCCGGACATTCGCCTTTCGTCCTCTCAGTTTCGTAAACAACAGTCCCACTACGAGAAGGCAGTGAGTAAAGCTTCCGTAGCATTGGCTGTATAAGCGTGTCCATGTGAGAGCATTTCAAGAAGGAGAGCGTACTCTTCCCACTCTAGTTCGTACCAGGGCATTTGGGGACCGGAAGCAAATTATAGCACGTTTTTGTATGTTGATACATAAGATCGAGGCAATTCACGATATTCAACCATGAGATTATTTCACGAAATAATAGTATGCTGTATGTGGATGTCAGATACAAAACAAAATTAGTAATTATAAATTGGCAAATAATAGCCACATTAGAAAGAAAAACAGTAACAGAAAACTATGGAACATATTTTTCAATAATATTTGGGTGTGTATGATTTTAGAGGACTGATTGACTACGGTTTGTTATATTAACACCCATAAGCTAGTAGTTTGACATCTACCAATATCTCTATTAATACAAATACAATAAACTCCGCCTGGAGTCCCTTCGGGGGGCTACTGACGGTCCCAAGCCCGGATAAAGGAGGAGGGTTGGGCATGGGGTTAGCGTCCCCATCCCGTAGAAAACTAACTCGCTAAAAAAAACGCTAACCAGTAACAAATACAATAATCAACTGTTCGGTTTTAAGTGTCGAGGGAATTCTCTCAAGATAAGTGACTTGTAACTAGATTTGAACTTGGGTTCATCATTAGTATATAATCAGTCTAATGAAAACTAATACTCTGACTGAATCCAGACTTGTGAGATTGTGCCATTGTCGAAATTGTGATCGTATAGTTAAGAATTGGAAATGAATTTTGATCTGACCTTGTGTTCTTTTGTGAACTTAAACGAAAAGTTAAATCCTAATGTTGATTATGTCTATCTAATGAATTATATATATAGCTACATAGTAATCGTACTGTTTGGAAGAAAATACAAGCTTCCCGATCGAAGCATTGATTAATTGAATCATCCCAAGTGTAATTTATTAATAAGAATACCTTCTGATTGAGTATTAGTCAATTCACAGAGTAGCTGATTATTACAAAATGCGGACTCAATATTTGAACTGTTTTCAAAGTGAATAGGTTGAGGTTAGACATTAACACCGTCGGATGCCGGCTCAGTGGTCTAGAGATAAGCGTTCACGTGCAAAAGTGAAGACCCTGGGTTCGAGTCCCCCGAGTGGGATCGTGGATGAGCACTGCTGAGGAGTCGCATAATAGTACGAAACGGTCGTCCAATGCTTCCAGGTTTTCAATGGTGGTCTAACATCAATCGATTCATGATTTCAATCAAAAGCATTCAAAGTAGATTTTCATGCATTCATATTGAAATGTGCAGAATTGCTGTCTAAAGATCTGTTACTTGATGAATTACTTTCTTTGATTACATTTTAGTCATAATATTAAGGATTTCAACTAAGGACAGATCTATTCATTAAAACTTCAACCAGTTTTGTTTTCATGCTCCTATCAGATTATTTTTTTCGATACAAAATTATACTACTGACTAAGTAGTATAGAAAAAGTGTCGAAAAATCGTGAAGATTAACTTGTTGATCACATTATATCTATTACAAGTTATTCAATTAATTTTACTGAATATTTCATGATTAATTTCAAATGAAATGAATCATTCTACTGATTTTAACTTATAGAAGTAGATTTCTATGCTTTATGAACTTTAGATTAAATGGTTATGAAAGGATTTGATAACAATGTTTCCACGAATAACAATATCTGACAGTCAGATAAAAAGGCTTGATCCCTTACTAAACTTAGACTAGGAAATACGACGTAAAATGCATTTCAAGTTAACAGCAAAAATATACCAAATGAAGTGTGTTATTTATTTACGGATTGCTGTCACATACCATTACTTACAATTAATTGATCACTGAGTGGTAATCAAAGTTATGTGCGTCAGGTCCTTCTTCATGTAGGTTGAATTCTATCGGCCAAGTAGCAATCTGGCTACTAGTCTAGATAGCTAAATATTGCGAGGTGTTTGGATGTAGCCGACCGGAAAACTTAAATCCATGTTTTGGGTTATTTGACATTTGTCAAGAAGGAGTAGCTGTAATCATGTAGGACCTAATGCTCGTTGAGGAATTCGATCCCGTTTCTCCCAGCTTCACAGTTAGAGACGTTACATTTGAGTCATTCAGGTCCTATAGGAGCTCAATCGCGGCCAAGATAGCTCAATGGTAACGCCTTTCACTTTGAAGCGGGGTGATACGGATCAAACCCATAAGGTATCATTAGGTTCTTCATGATTAAAGCACCACCTTCCTGACAAGTGATAAATAGCCCGAAAGTTATATCCAAAGTTTCCTGATGATTACCTGGAAACACAGTCTTATCTCAACACAGTACACAGACCAGTTGGCACATTGAAACTTCGTCATAACAGTCTGAACGGTATCGCTGGGGCGTCAGACCTGTTGAACTGGTACTTGAAAAACCCGAACTATCGTTCAAGACGTCGGTAGATCATGGTGATTGGCATTCCATCACCTTCACACATTAATTCATTCACACCGGACTTCTTGCTGCCAGTGACTCAGATGAACTGAGATTCCAGCAGTTACCAGATGCAGTTACTGCTCTCAAATCATTGGCACGCTCCGACCACCAGGTTTCTCGGACCTTACACAAGCTTGTCACAATTTCATTGAGTAACAGTCTTAGTTTATGATCAAATTCTCGGTCACCCTTAGTAAACCGACTGGCTCCAATGAGTTGTAAGGAACATCAAGAAACCTAGTGCTTAAAAGCGCAACGTTTCCTGAAGTCACAAGCCGCATTACTTGCCATTTTCATGGGACCGTACTACTGCGACTAATGCAAATTTATACTTTTCAGTGGGATGATAGCCAGTCGTGAACCTAACTCGGTTTGATATTTAGTTGCATCAGAAACTGTAACCAATCTGCTGAAAATGAACCGTTTAGGACGATGAATTTGTTGGCCACTGAAACGCAAGGTAACATGAGCACAAACAAGAGTATGATTGGAGTCCAGATAAATATTCCAAGAGGAGCGACAGTCTTGTTTATAACCACGCCACCGGTAGCTGATCGAAATGTGGTCACTCTGTGTCTAGATTTGAGATGAAGAGGGAAAACGCCAGGTAACACATCAGAGATGAATTTGCCGGAAGTCAGTCCTATCCAGAAACAAGTTGTAATCTGAGCAAAGTTGAAGTAGACGGTCACCGTTACATAACCTGCGACCAACAAGACCCATTAAGCAACCCAAACGCCTCTCTTCTGTATCTAGATGCCCAACCTGAGCATTCAATTCTCCGACTAGCACTACTGTAATGAACGCAAATTCAGGTGCACGACACCAATTTATTGTTTAGTGCAAAATTACAGAATGTCTTCGGAAGCCACCAAATACCCTGGTTAGGTCGAGAATGAGGAGAGTCAGGTCTCTCTCTCTCTCTCAAAATGTTCTCACATGGCCACGCGCATACAGCCACTACCACAGAAGTCCTAGTTACTGCCTTTTCGCCACTGGGGTGCTATTTACGAAATTGAGAGGATGGAAAGCGAATGTCCGGCGTTTTAACCGACCTGGTGGGTACAAATGATCCATCTAGGGGAGGTGATAAACTCTAGTTCAGACCCAATAGTGCCCATGCGCTCCAGGATACATTTCCAAGCTTTTTAAATCTGTAGCATCTAAAATCATTCCTCTCATAATATTTGTCATCTACGAGAATATACTACTGACAAAATATAAGTAGTTTCATTTTTACGTGTTTTTTTCATTAGCATAAGGGACTGACATGTATACAACTACTTACGACGTTAACTTCACATGAATAGAAAAATAACTGAAAACTATCAATCAAATAAAGACAATATAATGATTATAAAAAATTATTTTACACTGGTTATGAATGCATTACACCGTATGAAAATAAATGATCCTATTCCTAATCATAATTACATAGAGATCTCTGTAATATTAGTTATGATATCACCATTCATGACATTAGTAACTTCACTATCTAATTCATCATTATAATTGATTCTAGGTAATAATAAGGTTGAATTTATAGGTGTACGACATATTGGACAAGTAATATATCCAATTAAATGATGATTTACTGAAAACATTGCTGATTTATATAATGATTTAAAACAATCAGAACAAATGACGGCATGTCGACATGGTAAAAGTACACGTAGATTATAAGTAGTTTCTAAAGAAAGACATATGAAACAACATGGTCTCCATGTTTTTTGACAAACTTTATCATTATTTATATATGATGTGATTGTTTTCGTTGGTAAAATAGTAGTTTCATCAATTGTGTTCATATTTTCACCAGCATCAAAAAGGATCTATTCAAAACAGAAGAAAAAACAAACAATGAGATATTATGGAAAGGTTACCAATTCATTGTTTATTTGAGCATAAATTACCCTGAAATCAAGAAACAATGGTGATAACTCTATTTAAATGTTTGTATTCAAACAACGCATCATGAATCAGTCAGTAACAACGTAGAACTCCGCACGTACGTACATCAGTTCGAGTTGCCATATCACGGAGATGCAATTGTCAATTCAAATCCCATAGTGGTAGAGGTAGTAAAAGTATAGGCAGTAGTCGGAATGATGTTATTCAAGGAGTATAATCCACTGAAATAAATTTGGAAATAGAAAAAACGGCGAACATGAAGAATTCAGACCAGAATTTGCGAGAACACAATGAGCAGATGCACCTGTGACACTGCAAAGGATTTTGTGCCATGTCATTCAAGGTCTCTAACCATCGGTTGTTATCGTCTCGTGGATCCTAACCAAGTAGTCTACACCTACCAATATGGCTCAGTCCACTTGTCAGTAACTTCATGGACTTGTGCCATGTTTTGGTCTGGCCGTACCTAGATTTCTTCCAACCTACTTCTATACCACTGAACATAGCACGTCGAGGCAGTCGGTGGTTGGGCATACATAACACGTGTCCCAGCAATCTCGACTGATGAATTTTCACTACGTCCTCAATTGACTTGCCATCCTTACCTAGTACCCGTTTCCTAACAACTGCATTACTTACTCGATGGTCCCAGGATATAAGAGCAATGCTTCGAAGACACCTATGGTCGAATACTAGTAACCTACGAATATCCTCTACTCTTACCGGCCATGTTTCACTCCCATAAAGTAGGACGGAACGAACTGCTGCGCAGTAAACACGTCCTTTGGTTGGTAGACGGATATCTCGCCTACGCCATAAATGACGCAAGGTAGCTAAAGCTAGTCGAGCCGTGTATATCAGTGATGAGATTTCGTCACACACCAGACCACAAGTGAGATAAGTGAGGCGGTCGACACGCTCAACTACTTCACTCCCTATCACTAGTTAACGTGTCGATGCAACCAAATCCTGAAGTAAGATTTTGCATTTCGAGGGGAAGAATCGCATCCCGAACATGTTTGCATTGTTGCTTAGAGTGGTCAGATGAAATGCTTAATGAATCAAAAGTAAGCAAAGTGGTAAAAAATGTGGATCAACCTAAATTGTTACACTACATATCGATATATTAAGATGGGAATTAACAATATGAAAAGTGAAGGATATAGATTGAACCTAAGTACGCCATCAAACACTGATTTTGAGTGATATCACTGAGCATCTATGATCATAGATTAGGGTTATCAACAATGTGTTTAAATCCAACAGTCGATGATTAAATGAACTAACACTTATATCATCGTTTGCCTCCCTAACTTGATTGTAAACGATTTCTACGCTAAGATAGTGGTTGGAGGTAGTCAACAGCAAACCCTCCAATCACCATCCTATCTCAACATAGTGCACGCAATGTCGAGTCACCTAAATTAGTGGCTACATCGCAACCTGGTCGATAGGATTCGGTCTGCACTAAGAAGGACCCGACATACATGACATTGATCACTACCCAGTGATCAACAAATTGTAAATTTCTACGTTAGCATTGCGTATCATATGCTAGTCAATGGAGACAGTTTATAATATGTTTCAGTTAATCAGACTAAAAAGTGTAATTTTATATTAATAATGAAACAACTACAAAGAAGAAAAACTAATTAATAACAATATGCAAAGATGGATAGTGGATAGCAGTGGAATCCAGTTTGACACGCGTCACGTCCTATTTGAAACTCATCAGCTGGATGTACCTGCATCTCAGTACCGTTCGCTTCAAACGCCATCGCGCGCCATCCACTTAGCTACTGAATCCTGATAGCTACTTGCTTGTGCAATGTGGTGAAGTTTAAATTCATGTGGAGTTGTTTTTTATCACTTGAATCTTCTCATTGATGTTTAGGACTTAAATTGATCAGTCTCTTATTGACATAGGTGTATACTCTGTGTATTGCCTCAATATTGCCTTAATTCACAAGCATTATAATCAAAGACGCACAAGTAAGTGGCTATCAAAACTCAGTATCTAAGTGAATAACGCGATGGAGGTAGAAGCGAACAGTACTGAGTACGAGTCTCAGAATGAACGTCAAGTCAGACGCAGATACATCCAGCTGACGAGTCCAAAATAAGACGAAACGCGCGTCCAACTGGATTCCACTGCTAGTCACTATCGATCTTTGTATATAATGCATGTGACCCAAGGCAATATCTGGGCAGTCCGCACATTATGCACAAATACCAAAAAGAGACTGATCAATTGCAGTCCTATTCATCAATGGAAAGATTCAAGTAAACAATAACCAAGTGAATATGTGTTTAGAAATCTTATTAATACTATTATTACCATTACTGACAAATATTTTATTGTAATTTTGAGAAGTAAATATATATTTGTGAATGCATAGCTTTGAAAATGGATCAAAAGTTTGCCAACTTTAGTCAATCTATGCAATATTTGATTTGATTCAACCGACTAAATATCAAAACATTAATATAGTTTTACTTACCTGTGGAGTCAGAAGACGGTTCCAATTAGTTTTCCAATATGTATACATGATACTTGTATTCACATGTTCCTCTTCTCGAATCTTTACATGAATTATGTAGCATGTAATATTCTGAAACGATCAAATTGGATCAATATGTCAAAGTAACTAATAGATAACTGAAATCTAGTCTTCTAAAATTTGTTAAATTCGTAGCAATCAGATGCCTTAAAATGAATTTATGTGCTTACAGGTAAAATGACAAATCTTTTCTTACCAAGGTAACAATATCTTCATTTTATTACATCATTGTCGATTCTTCCAAACGTTAATTTTATTTCTGACTGACTGTTATCAAGTCACGTTATTCCTAAATGGTACTAACAAATACTCAGTTACTTCATCATGTAGTCAACTAATATTTTTGATTTTAATGGTTGACATCATGAATCAATTGAAGCTAGACCACCGTGGAAGACATGGAAGCACTGACGGGCCGTTTCATTCTATTGTGAGACTCTTCAGCAATGCGCATCCACGATTCCGCCTCGTGAGATTCGAACCCAGGACCTATCAGTTTCGCGTGCAAGCGCTTAACCACTAGACCACTGGGCCAGCATCCAACTGAGTAAATGTCTAACTTCAACTAATCCTCGAAACTGAGTAACACATCCACCAATGTTTTTATTGAGTTAGTATCTCACAACAGATCCAATTGAACACCACTGATCACTGCTTCCAACTAGAACTCCAGGATATACCTCTTGAAGCCAGTCACTGGTGAGCATCCAGGTTTTTCATGGTAGTCTAGCTTCGACTGACTAATGACATATTCAATCTTGGCCACCTCCACTTATATGAAGATATAAACTTCCATGTGTAATCTGATTTTAAAATATTATACTTTCGAAACACCCCATGTGAAACTAACTGAACAAAATGAATTCATGTTAAATTCTGCTCAAATCTTTGTCCCTGCTCCATCCAAGTGAATAAAAAGGAACTTTGTGTATGAAATGTTGTTTTAATTCATAATAATAAAACTGAAATATATGATTTTATAACTGACATTTTCATGACAAAACGTATGAAATACAACATAGTTTAAGTTATTTAACCAGATGTGATTGTTTGAAGTTCGGCGTCGTGTGTTCAGGCACAGAGACGATAATGCAATCGGTGTCACCATCTTGAAACACCGACTTCGGTGGCTTGGACATGTTCTACGAATGTCGTCCCACAGAATTCCACGTCATGCATTATTTGCCGACTCTGGGACTGGTTGGAAAAAGCAGAGAGGTGGTCAGTGTATGACATGGTGTCGTGGTATGAAAGAAAGCTGCACAGGAATGGCTTCTGTCGGTCCTTCATGACACCCTGGCTGGGGTCCGAGAGATGATGCAACACAGTGGTTAGGGACGTTATCAGATATGGCTCAGAATAATAGCCAGTGGCAATCCTGCTGTAACCTTCGTTTACTTTCTTTACAAAAAATGACTGTAACTTCTTTAACTGAAAGGATTCTTTCTGATTGTACATTTCTGTTTCCCTCACTATTATTATTATTTCACTAGCATAGACTAATTTGTGGTCGTTATTGTTCTTTTTTCTTTTACACGCACCTTACATTCTTTGTCTCTTCCCATTCTCATTATTATTGTGTGGTGCATATGTATCTGGTGCCCCCTTGTACCAACATTTATGTGTTCAAATAAGATCAAATAAAAAAGATTGTTTGATATCATTAAATTGACATGAATCGTTATGAATGATTGATGTACGAAACAATCATCAGGACATCTGACTTCTTTTTGAAAATCGGACTCATCATTTTTGGTTTTCTTCATTGGCAAATGTCATGAATTTTCTTACAACTGCAGTACTGTTCAAGTGATCAAAGTGTTTTCGTAAGCAACCCCTTAAACGTCTTATTAGGAAATTTAATTCTAAAGGTAATCGAGCAACGTTAGAAGGATTTTTATGTTACATGAAGTCCAAAGATAGTTTTTATCCCACTCATCCAGTCTGTACTACAGGGTTCGGAAACCAGTTTTTTAATCTCTACGACATATATTCTGTATGCGCCAGCTCAATTTAAACAGAAATCTATCTTTGTTGATCAACATAGTTCTTCATCTTTACAGATTTTATTGGAACAATAACAAGAACCGTTGTTTATCATTATGCTAATAGTTGTGAGGTATTTTCTTGAGTTGAGTTTTACACATATTAGTTGTCTTTACTCAATTTGACAATAGGTGTGACTATTCACACTGAGCTGCTCCTAAGTAAATGATCGGAATGATACACGGAATACTTAATAAACTTAAACCTCCTTTAAAACGTTGCTGTAGGGCTGGTCTGTTTCAGCACCTGAACTAATGATATGAAGCGAAGTAATTTTGTGTGTCAACTACGTATCTTAGAGGTCGCATGAACACCTGATGGGTTGATGTTTAAAGAAATTTCGGAATGGATACAGGAAGCTCGCTTAGATATAATGAAGCTAACTTGAGACAGTAATTAGTAATGGTTTCACAAAGAGTAGATAAGGTTTATAAGTAGTTGAATAGTTAGAAGCACATTATTGTTTGACTAGTAGTAAACAGCTGCTGATCTCACTTTAACATGAATTACCAGCCAATAAACTGGGATGAAATAAAGACCATTAAAAATAAATTTATCTGGAAAAGAATAGCACTCGTCTATTGTATTTGGTCACACATAGGGATTTGAAGTTATGTCCATAATGCTGACAGTCATAAGGTGAATATTATTCAATATATATTACCGAAACAGGAAAAACATTGTTATTTTAAAAACACTATCTGAACAAAGAACTGTTCAAAGAATGCATTTTCGCACTACGGTTACTGCAAATAAGCTTTAGTTAACATTAGTTCACCTGTTAAGTCGCACATAGTTTACATTCGAATTTTTAAACTTACTATTTCCTCATCCAGTGAATCTAGAGTACTTGAAACTAGACCAATAACAATTGAATATTTATCGCGTTTCGAATGATCAGGGCAAGACTGAACGTTCGCGTGTATGGATATGTCTTGACTTCCAGGTCTAGGATCCAGTTAGTATAAACAACAAGGACTTACTTTACAGTATATCTTTCGGTAGCGTTGGTAACAATATAATCTCTAAGATTTTTGTGGTCACTAGTCAATATGTCATGGAAAGAAGACAATGAAACATCACGTAAGACACAAAACTCGACGGCTTTAATGCTAGAAACAGTTACTCGAATCGGATCACCTAAAGTTGTCAGTCAAATAGTAATTAACTCTCACCATACATATTACTGCCAGACGGCTGAAAGCTAGTTATCACAGAACTATTTCTTAACCTTTTTGTTGATACATCCGATATCATATATCCTCTTGTTAACACAGACATTCCCGAATCAGCGTTTTGGCCATACAACCATAAGATGCTATATTTTAAAGCCAATTATTTTACTTAAATAGGAAACATACACTTTTTCCTTTACAACTTTCAGGATGACAGACAGTATAAGTAAAGCCAAGAAGATTCGAATAAACACACCCCTAATAATGTTGGAAATATCCATTGCAGTGGCTCAAAACTGAAACCACGTGCCAAAATCCTGATTTGTTTGGTATTACTTCGGCGTTCACGATGTACGCATGAAAATAATTCCGTTTGGCTAGTACAATGACCTTTAACAACTAGAAAACAAGTGAATTATTACATTAAGGATAAAAAGGTGTTTATACCGAATCATAAGGATGTTGGAATTTTGGGACGATCAACCTCTAACATTATATATTTATTTATTTGAACACATAAATATTGGTAGAAGGGGCACCAAATATATATGCGCCACACAAAACAGTGAGAATGGGAAGAGAAAAAAGGAAAGGTAAGGAGCGTAAAAGAAAAAAAGAAGAACAATAACGACCACAGATTAGTGTAGGACAGTGTGATAATAATAAAAATAATAATAATAATATTAACAATGGTAACAATAATAATAGGGGAAACGGAAAGGTAAAACCAGAAGAAATCTTTCAGTTAAGGAAGATACAACCAATTTTTATGAAGAAGGTAAAAGAAGGTTACAGCAGGATCGCCACTGGCTTCTATTCTGAGCCATATCTAATAACGTCTCTAGCCACTGTGTAGCACCATCTCTCAGACCCCAACCAAGGAGTCGTGAAGGACCGACAGAAGCCAGTCCTGTGCAGATTTCTTTCATGCCACGACACCATGTCATACACTGACCACCCCTCTGCTTTTTCCAACCAGTCCCAGAGTCGGCAAATAATGCACGACGTGGAATTCTCTGGGAAGACATTCGGAGGACATGGCCAAGCCACCGAAGTCGGTGTTTCAAGATGGTGACACCGATCGCATTATCGTCTCTGCGCCCGAACACACGATGCCGAGCCTCTGCATTACTGACATAGTGTTGCCACTGAATGTCAGCAATCCTTCGGAGACAACGATGATCGAACACAGAGAGTTGTCTAACATCCACAACTCGGAGAGGCCAGGCTTCACAAACATAGAGCAGAACTACTCTCACCAACGCGTTGTAGATCCGACCTTTTACAGTCAGACTAACATCACGAAGGCGCCAAAGGTGGCCCAGATTGGCATAAGCCGCTCTGGCTTTCACTATACGTGGATTGATCTCATCACTCACGCCAACACCAGCAGTTATGCAGCTACCCAGATACACAAACTTCTCAACTACGTCTATCTGCTCACCATCCAGGGTGAGTACAGGATTGGAATCCTGCCAGTCTTGTAGAAGTACTTTGCACTTGGAAGGTGCAAAGCACATACCATACCTACGGACACTGATTGTCACCTGATTAAGTGCGGATTGCATGCCTTGGGCATTATCGCACAGTAAGACAATATCGTCCGCATACTCAAGGTCGAGAAATCTTTCTCCAGGCAACAGATCCGCACCACCATCACTTACATTCATCAGAGCTGTTTCCAGAATGTCATCGATGGCAAAGTTGACGAGGAATGGTGAGATTGGGCAACCCTGCCTAACCCCACTGCTCGAATGGAACAATGGAGAGAGGTGGTTGTATGTCCTCACTCTGCCTGAGGTGTTTTTATATAGGGCTTTTAGGGTGTTAATAAACTTCTCAGGCACACCCTTCTTCAATAGACAATCCCAGAGAACAGTCCTGTCCAACGAATCGAAGGCAGCCCTGATGTCAAGAAATACTACGATTGTTGGCCTTTGATAAGAATGGCGATGTTCTAACATTTGGCGGAGGGTGAAGATATGATCAATACATCCTCGACCAGAACGAAACCCAGCCTGCTCCTCGCGAGTCAATCTTTCTCGGGTTTTGAACAACCTACAAAGTATGACGGAAGCCAATAGCTTGGACGCAATCGGAAGTAGACTTATCTCTCGATAGTTGTTACAGGAACGACGTGAACCCTTTTTAAAGATAGGGACAACTATCGACTCATTCCATGACGTTGGTACACGCTTTAGTTCCCAGACCTTTATAAACAACACAGTCAGTTCCTTAGCCAGAAAGTCACCACCATCTTTAAAAAGAGCCGGAGGTAAGTCATCTGGGCCAGGTGATTTGTAGTGCTTCAAGAGTTGGAGTTCCTTGCGGACTTCCTCCTCGTTTGGTGGATCAGTCGTCACCGGCCATGGAGGGCAGGACAGTCTGGCCGATGTTGCCGGAGCAGCAGGCCAGTTGAACTGCCCTTCGAAAAATTCTACCCATCGTCCAAGATGTCGATGGATGTTAGTGATTGGCATCCCATCATCCTCACAGATTGTTTCACTCAAACCAGACTTCTTCCTGCCAGTGACTCGGATGAGTTGGAAGAGCTTCCGGTAGTTACCAGATGCAGCTGCTACTTCCAGCTCATTAGCACGCTTCGACCACCAGGCTTCTCGGTCCTTACGCAAGATTTGCCCGATTTCCTTACGTAACATCCTTCGTTTATGGTCAAACTCACGGTCACCCGGAGTAGACCGACGGGCTTCAATGAGTTGTAAGGAACCAGAAGAAACCAAGTCCGCAAGGAACTCCAACTCTTGAAGCACTACAAATCACCTGGCCCAGATGACTTACCTCCGGCTCTTTTTAAAGATGGTGGTGACTTTCTGGCTAAGGAACTGACTGTGTTGTTTATAAAGGTCTGGGAACTAAAGCGTGTACCAACGTCATGGAATGAGTCGATAGTTGTCCCTATCTTTAAAAAGGGTTCACGTCGTTCCTGTAACAACTATCGAGAGATAAGTCTACTTCCGATTGCGTCCAAGCTATTGGCTTCCGTCATACTTTGTAGGTTGTTCAAAACCCGAGAAAGATTGACTCGCGAGGAGCAGGCTGGGTTTCGTTCTGGTCGAGGATGTATTGATCATATCTTCACCCTCCGCCAAATGTTAGAACATCGCCATTCTTATCAAAGGCCAACAATCGTAGTATTTCTTGACATCAGGGCTGCCTTCGATTCGTTGGACAGGACTGTTCTCTGGGATTGTCTATTGAAGAAGGGTGTGCCTGAGAAGTTTATTAACACCCTAAAAGCCCTATATAAAAACACCTCAGGCAGAGTGAGGACATACAACCACCTCTCTCCATTGTTCCATTCGAGCAGTGGGGTTAGGCAGGGTTGCCCAATCTCACCATTCCTCGTCAACTTTGCCATCGATGACATTCTGGAAACAGCTCTGATGAATGTAAGTGATGGTGGTGCGGATCTGTTGCCTGGAGAAAGATTTCTCGACCTTGAGTATGCGGACGATATTGTCTTACTGTGCGATAATGCCCAAGGCATGCAATCCGCACTTAATCAGGTGACAATCAGTGTCCGTAGGTATGGTATGTGCTTTGCACCTTCCAAGTGCAAAGTACTTCTACAAGACTGGCAGGATTCCAATCCTGTACTCACCCTGGATGGTGAGCAGATAGACGTAGTTGAGAAGTTTGTGTATCTGGGTAGCTGCATAACTGCTGGTGTTGGCGTGAGTGATGAGATCAATCCACGTATAGTGAAAGCCAGAGCGGCTTATGCCAATCTGGGCCACCTTTGGCGCCTTCGTGATGTTAGTCTGACTGTAAAAGGTCGGATCTACAACGCGTTGGTGAGAGTAGTTCTGCTCTATGTTTGTGAAGCCTGGCCTCTCCGAGTTGTGGATGTTAGACAACTCTCTGTGTTCGATCATCGTTGTCTCCGAAGGATTGCTGACATTCAGTGGCAACACTATGTCAGTAATGCAGAGGTTCGGCATCGTGTGTTCGGGCGCAGAGACGATAATGCGATCGGTGTCACCATCTTGAAACACCGACTTCGGTGGCTTGGCCATGTCCTCCGAATGTCTTCCCAGAGAATTCCACGTCGTGCATTATTTGCCGACTCTGGGACTGGTTGGAAAAAGCAGAGGGGTGGTCGGTGTATGACATGGTGTCGTGGCATGAAAGAAATCTGCACAGGACTGGCTTCTGTCGGTCCTTCACGACTCCTTGGTTGGGGTCTGAGAGATGGTGCTACACAGTGGCTAGAGACGTTATCAGATATGGCTCAGAATAGAAGCCAGTGGCGATCCTGCTGTAACCTTCTTTTACCTTCTTCATAAAAATTGGTTGTATCTTCCTTACCTGAAAGATTTCTTCTGATTGTACATTTCCGTTCCCTCATTACTACCACACTAGTTTACACCAATCTCTTCGTTATTGTACTCTTTTTTGCGCTCCTTAGCTTTTTTATCTATTTCTCTTTGAATTCTTATTGTTTTGTGTGGCGCATATATATTGGCGCTCTCTTGTACCAATATTCATGTGTTCAAATAAATAAATAAATAATAAGTCAATATAAGATCTAGTAAGGATGATTCAGCATCCGGGTCGTACCTTGTCGCTTTTTGCACATGTTGCACTACGGCACATGTGATAACCGCATCAACTACTTCCTGCTCGGAGGAATTTTCTGACAATTCAGTTCGCAGATTTTCCCAGTCTACTATTGGTGCATTAAAGTGCCCTAGGATTAGACATCGACCACTATGTGACCAATTATTGAGACTGCTTAGCAGGACCTCATTTACCTCACAGCTTGAACTGCGATAGACCAAACCAATCAGCAGCTCTTGTCCCTTGCATTTTAGGCGAAGACTAACTAATTCACACGTCCCACTCTCATGGGATACACTATCGATAATGGCAAATGGGATAGCATTCCTAATGAATAGAGCTACTCCCCCTCCTTTGCGCTTTTGTGTTCTGTCGGCCCTTACTAACGTAAAACCCTCGAAATCAAGTTCCATACTATCTATAGCCTGTGTCAGCCAGGTTTCTGTTACTGCGATTATGTCTGGCTTTGTAGAGTCAATCTGTACACCTAGTTCCGATCGCTTATTAAGTAAGCTTCGTGCATTGGTGTAACAGATCCGAAGCCTGTTTAAGTGCCTTCGTGCTTCACCCAGAGTGGCTTCGGCATCATTCTCTGTCGAAGTCTTACAACCCGAAAATTTACAATTGTCAGGTCTTTTTCGCCAGCGTCTAACCTAAGTTGTAGTTCTTTTCCGGCTTCCCATCTTTTTACACGGTCTGTCAACGGCAAATCTTTACGGATAAAAACTCCTGAACCCTTTAATTTATGTCCATTCTGTAAAATTAGGTCGCGTTCGTTCGAAGATTCGAATACTACATTAAGCAGTCTGGATTGATTTGGTTTCAAGTTCGCTAGACTCCCTAGTCTATACACCTTTAGCAAGGTCAACCCGGTGATATTTTGAGGCATGAGTTGATTAAGCAGCTGTTTAATCAGTACAATGTCATGCTCAAAACGAGCTTTTGGTTCAGAACTCTCACTCTCCTTGATTCTATGAAAAATAACTGATCTGTCACTGTGATCAGCTTTCGATTTCTCGACTACTTTTATGGGGGCAGGATTCCCTTTTATATTGCTACGTTGTTTCTGCCTTACAACCTGTACCCATTCGTCAACGCTGCTATGAGAGGCAACCACAGTTGCGTCAAACCTACTGTTGAATTCCGGAGGGTTGTCGACGATCTGGGAGTTCAGGTCATGTTTCTCGCTAGAAACCAACCGAGCCTTGCGATTGCGGCTTCTAGGCGTTTCCTACTGGATGCCATTTGGAAGAAGGGGAACAGAAGAACCTTCTTTTCTTGAGTCTTTGTTTAAGATAGACCACTTTGGAGACTGTTTTTCCTTCTTTGATCAGTGTGAGTCACCTATTTTTGAACTCGCCTGAGTTTGCTTCATATCAATTTGCGTGTCGACAGAGCGAGTGCTGTTTGATGTGTCCCGACTACGCTTTCTAAAACACTTTTTCGCAGAATCTAGTAGTGAGATGGCCTCGGTTAACAAGCTGTTTGCATCCGAACAGCACTGTTGACAAAGCCAAACGCAACGCTTTTTACTGAACCTTTTGAAAGCCGTAGGCGTTAAACTCGTGCAAACTTTGTGGTACCAGCCTTTGCACTCATCGCACTAAATGCCGCTTTCAATGGGATAACGACAACCCGGACGTTGGAAACTCCTTTTTTGCACTGTCCGGTCATTAGAAATGGGTCCTTTTCAAAAAAAGAGCGAGATGCAATAATGCTCAGAGACAAAAAAATGATCTATGACCATAAAAGTGGAGAACTGTAGATTGTTAGGACCAAAAGTACTAACAGATACAGCAGAAAATAAGGTACTTAAGAGTACCGACGATAAACCAATTGACAAACAGTAAACGATACTTTAACTGAAATAAATTCAATTAAAATGAAAACAGTAGTCTTGATCCTTAATAAATGATCAAAACAATAAAATTTACTCAGAGAGGAAAAAATACCACTGTCCTTTTCAATAGATTGTATTATGTGTAGAGGACATTTTGGAACAAGTCGTTTAAATAAAATCAAGCTGACTATTATTATAATCAGTTTGATGTTTTGCTATAGCAAGAAACCATTGTTTCAAAAAAAATTTCTGATCACCTACACTTAATTAAATCCAGGATATCACAACTTTTTGCTGATTAAGTCAGTATGGCAACTCACAGAATAAAAGATAATTTCCAGTTGATTAAACAAGTGGATTTGAATATATATCAAGGCTGTAAAAAGAACGAATGGGCTCATTTCCATGGTAACCCCGAGATTAACACTTTACAAAATACCAAGTACAAAATTTTGTGACTCCCTGAAATTTTTAGTAAAGTTTACTTTAAAGAACTATTTGGAGCTTAACCCAATATTGTTAACCGAAATACTAACTTTTAGTATAGACCCATTACAATCTGAATTCCCGACATGTTCCGCAGATGACGAAATAGCGCGTTGGAGCTTCAATCCCCAAAGTTCGCTAGGAAATGCGAACACATTATTCCCTGAGCACCAAGTCTGATTATTAAGAAGCTTTTGAATTACCTGAGTTCTTTTCTTACTTCTTTGAAGGAAAAAATTAAGCGTTATTGCTATTTCCTTGTAGGCTTTCCTTGTAGTCACAAAAATTCGTGAGACATACAGATATGAAATATAAACCTTCAAACCACCAGAAATAACAAGTGAGGATAGTCGAAAACAATGGACATTCGCTTAAACTTCTTCAAATGCTTTTTGTCAACAATACTTCCCTGTTTAATAGACTATTTGTTATATGTGATAGAGTACTGTTCTGTCGTGATTATTCAATCCCCTGTTCTTTTGGTGCTGACTATCAAAAATGACTTAAATGGTGCCACATATGTTCAGAGTTGGAAAAATCTCTTGTCCGAAACATCTCCGCAATATAAGGGTACCAACTCAGTCAAATCAGAAGTCAGGAACTATTGAGTTCGAAGATATGTAGTGACTCACATTTATCACGAGAACACGACTGGTTTAATAAAAACAATTGTTATTATAACCAACTGTACCAGTGCTTGTTTTAATGTACTTTTGTTTGACTGTGCTAATGACAGCTATATTTTGCTTCCATTCTTATACTTACACTTTGATTGTGACTTCGCGCGAATTCGGTTACGTTCTGTAACCAAGCTTCTATCCTGGCACGATCTCGGTATCCATTCGATGCCACGAGATCGCCAGCAAATATATCTCGACTTGGTCCATTAACTGTCTTCTGATATTTGGCTTCTCGGGGATTTTATGGATTTGTTTGGTTACGTTCGACCTTCGCCTACTGATTTACTTGGCACGTGTTTCTTGGTAGCGGTGTTCATAGTCAATTTTGACCCGACACCACGCTACAGATACATTTGACAGGTTGTGATGTGTTGAAAAGCGTTTATTCGAAGTTTGTTGGTGTTCGCAAGAGGTGAGTATCACGTAGTAGTTACATGTAACTTGGTGCGGATGAGTGACTCTGCACCTACAGATAGAATGTGTCCAGTGAAACAAATGACGTCAGCATCAATGTCGAAGACTTAGAGAAATGTTTACTTTCGGGATACATTCACGGCTACATTCTCAATACTATGAAAGTTATGAGTTAGAGGATGTTTGCAGCTGAAGTAATAATCTTACTATCTTTACTATAATTTAGCGGATTGCGTCATGTCTGAAGATAATTACAGTGTCATTTGAGCGCGTGCGATAACGACGCTACACACAAGGTATGTGGTAAAACGTTAGTCGATGATTCAGTGAACTCACGAAATTCGTTCGCGGTTATATAGGAAGCAATACAAATCAATAGGCAGTTTAGTTTACTGATGACTTCGAGTTGGTCAATCAGAACTGAGATAAGACGAAATGTATTATGAACGAAACTCAATGTGCAAAATGTTGTGTGTCAAACGATGCACTTCAAGTGTTGACAACACGATTGTTCTAATATGAGGTCTATGCTATTGCTGATGATTGCATCTCCATTTCCTTATTAAATAGTGATTTTATTATTGTTGCTTCGTATCAATAAATGTTGGATAAATAAGTATGGTTTTCTCATTAGCTGATAAGCCACTGAAGGTCGTCAGTGTGGTACTGTTTTTTCGGATCTTCCTTTAATCCATCTGCCGAAACTGTCTCTGACTTGTTTCAAACGCTGGAGGATTTGCTTCTGAAAACCAGAATAGAGTATATGAATCACGACTATTGATACATAAAATTGGCACCAAATAGCTTGGAAAGTAACATATTTTCATGCTAAACACAAGATTGCAACTTTGGGGGCGCACAAGAAGCACTTTTTCAGAACTTGGGAGATTAGTTTTCACTCATCTATATGTGATGTCAAAGCAAAAAGTCTACAGTGGAAGAACTTAACAAACTTGTCACCTACTCAGGTATTTTTAAGCTATGATCCATATCGGATGACCAGTTAAAATATTTCATTTTCGTTCATGGTGTACAACCTTCAAGATATAGGGGTATCCTCATAAATCTCAGTATAATTGAGCAAAACCTTCTATGTTACAAATGTCCAGAGCTTGACAACAATCTTGTTTGTAACACTCTTATGGACGGAAGATACCAAACCCAGCAAAACCAGATATAAATACAAAGTACTGGGTATGTTTAGAAGTTTTATCTGAGCTGGCTAGTAGTTGCGAGGGATGAGTACCACAGCACACTGACTTGTGGCCCTGTAAGGATAATGAGGTCAGCATCAATGTCGAAGACTCACAGGATTATTTACTTCGAAGATTTATTAACCGCTGCAACTGCAAATGTAGTACACCACACTAAAATTCACCTTACAAAATTTCGCTTAATTACACACTGTTCCTCTTTCATTTATCTTCCGTACATTTAAAGTAACTAGGATTTAGAAATGGTGCTACGGATCACTAATTATCTCGGTTGAACTAAGGCTACAACAGAATGCAGTAAGGTCAGATTTGTGGAAGGCAGAATGGGATCATATTGTACCATTGTAACATATAGAGACAATAGGCAGAAAACATTTTTATGTCCCATATCATCATAAGCGCTTACCAGTGAATTAAGAAATAGAATATAACAAACGCTCTTGTATATATATTTCAGTAATTGAATCCACTAGCATATACAGCAGTAGTAAATAATGAAGGCAAAATCGGACCGAAATAACAGCAGAATTAGACCTCTTTATGGTTGGATTCATATTGACACCAGCACCAGTAGTTGCATTAAAATAAAGAAAAGACACTGACAACAAAATATCCAGCAATTGTACCGTAATGAATTAAATTCAGGACTGTTGGACTAGTTCGATCTGTCTCGTATTAAAATGAATACAAACCATCCGTTGTTAATTAGTTAGTGTGTCTCAAGCACTAACAGATTAAAACAGTAATGGGATTTGATCAACAGACCACCAAACAAAGCAATATTATGATTCATATGAAAGGCATTCGAATTAATCACAAGTTTGTAGTGAACGGAGAACTCATGTGGGAAGACCAGAAAACGCCTTCGTAAAATATGAAAACAATACATTAAATAGATTATTTGCACATCTCCCTCTAGCAGTCCTTTACATATTTCATGGTTCTTTTAATGATTATTATTACAAATACCCGTTTTTTTATATTCCTAACATCTCCAGTTATATGTTCTTATAAGAGATGTTTCACTTCTGGTGTTATGCACCATTTATATTTGTCAACATAGGTAGCATACAACACAAATTGACCGATAGGACTGAACTAATGTATTTGACAGTCACATGATCAGTCGGTTGTCGTAATGCAAAATGAATATACGATTATGTTCACTTAACACGTTTATGTGAAATACCATAAACATCCAAAGGTACCATAACATTAAAACACAGGTTTGACAGTTTAATATAGCTTTATTCATGATACGATGGAAAATGAAATGAATATACAACCATGGGCTTAGAAGTCTGAAACCCATATTACGAAGTTCTCTGGCAGAAACAACATGGACATAGCTTCTTACTTAGATGGGTCGACTTCATTATGGATTTACCTTAATAGAATTTGGAAAACCCAGACAGACATTAATAACAAAAATATATAACCTACCACCTACATCACTATAATGTTAATTAGAAACTTGATAGATTTACTTGAATGAGTGTGAAACTACAGTGGCAACAAGATATTTGCTTACGACCAATTAAATGAACTTTCTATAAAGTTATATATGTTCTTACATTGTTGTTTGTTTGTAAATATTATAGTCATCTGCAAAAATACTTCCATTTTCTGAAACATATTTCCTTTGACTCCAAATTATAAAGTTTCTTGAAATATAACAAGAGTTACTTCCATTTAAACCTATCTATGATTCCGATAATGTAATTAGAAGACGAAGATTATCAGAACTATGTGATATATTAGCGCAATACATTTCGAACAATCTGATCACACATGTACTTGTTAAGAGCATTCATATATAAAAGGTCAACTTGACAGGAAACGGGGTAAGAGGAGATAAGGATAATGATAATGATAATAATAATAATAATAATAATAATGTGGACACAAAGCGAAACCTAATCACTCTGGATAATAAGTCAATATTACCAGGGTAGGTTTAAGGTAAGAACAAACTGTTTTTGAACACATAAAGGGAGTTTGAATTTTCGTATGGCTAAGGCTTCAATAAACCTTAGTATACGTCCTTTTACACTTTTATACAACACTAAAAAAGCTGAATTTAGATCAATCTTGTGACCTTTTTCAATTATATGTTTATCAATAAAGGGATAATGGATGTTTATCCTCTGCTCTTTATTGGGTCACCTGATTGTATTTGTTTCTGCAATCATTTGGGTGCATGTTCACTCACGATTGCTCCTCCCTATGTATGTGTGACCGCATACACACATTTAAATTAGTGAACACAGTGGGATGTGACGCAATCGTCTTCATGTCTTTTAGGTTTTGGATGGAGCATGCACCTAGTTCTTTCTTTGATGACTTTTGCTGCGCAGTACGTTTTATTGATGACTGATTTAAGTCTTTATTTCAATAAAACGCTATTTGAATCACCTCTAAACGGTAAGGTTACAGTAGGTCTCGCTGTACCATGGACTTTCCATCTATTTATGAATTTCAGAGGATAGCCATTTTCTATTAACGTTTTATTTAACAACTTGACACCATCATCAATTGCGTCATTGATATAAATACTATCGAGTCTGCTGAAAAGACACCTTATCAAACCACGTTTGTATTGCACAGGGCAATAACTATGATAACTAAGATATTGACCTGTCCACGTTGGTTTTCTAAAAATAGATCGCTTGACTGAGCCATCTTCTCGTCTACTCAAAAGTATATCTAGGAAGGGAAGCTGATCGTTCTTCTCCTCTTCACATGAGAGACTAATATGGTTTTGGAGAGTGTTAAGTTTATTTAGTAAACAGTACATATCCTCTTTTCTTTCACAAACAACTAAGATATCGTCCACATATTTATTGTAAAGTGACATGTTTCCGATTAGGTCATCAGTCTGATTTTCAACATGTGCCATGAATACATCTGCTAATAATGGTCCTAGCGGACTACCCATACCAACCCCATCGATCTGACGAAAGTATTCACCTTCAAAAGTGAACTGAAATTTGTTAGTACATAGCAGTAAATCTTTAAGAATTTTTAAAGGGACACATAATTTAAGATTGTTTACAGATATGTAATCGTATAATATATCAATGGTTTTTTTCAAAGGTACATTTGTAAACAAGGAATTCACATCAAATAAACACAATGTGTTTCCCTTGATATTAATATTATCTAAATGATGAACCCTATTCGAAAACATCTATGTAAGTATTCTCTAAAGGATTCGTTTGAACTGGTCTACGAAAATGCTAACCACATTCATTCAAAGTTCTTTTACGATAAAATTATAAAACACAGTTACCTAGACATCAATGTACTGGACAATTTGAAAGGAGAAAAAAATACAAAAATACATTTATAAAAAGTACTTCAAAACTATAATGAAATAATCATTATTCCATTGTATTGCACAATCTATGTTATTGGATAACACGACGTTGTGGATCAAATATATTTTTTTTGAATTCAAGTATAACTTCAATATTCGGTTGTGATATTTGTTTTCTGCCGGCTTTTGAAGAATACTGTGCCAATATCTCATCAGGAAGATCATCTAAATGAAGAATATGAGACAAGTAGATGTGATTGTGTAGGATGTGATTTTATTGTTTTCCTAATATAAATGATAACTAAATACAATAAAGTTAATAATAGGCCATATATAGTTACTGTACTCTCTTTATTTAACTACACATCTGAATACAAAATAAAAATAAGAGTTCTAATTAGTATATACTAAGAAGACTTAGATACCTGAACCAGAGTGAAGTGAGATTCAAACACGTAATTCAGTAATTGAGAGTTGGGTGGTTTGATTAGTAAGCAACCATCCACCTAATAAAGTGACCGTTTTCTTATCCAATTCCTGAACTACAGTAACCAAGACACATAGAAAAACAATTCACTCGTTCACTACATTTAAAAGAAACTGAGGGAAACAATTGTAGTCTTCTGACATTTATGAAAGTAGGGTACATCTCTCTTTGTTGATAACTTCTTAAAAAACTTTTGGCAATTAGTAACAACAGGTCATAAATTGAAATGTTTTCTCAGGAAAAATAGATACTTCGACAACACATCCGATTATAAGATGAAATTATGTGAAAGGATTATGGTTTTTAATGAAATCGAATCAGAAAGTGAGAAACGAGTTAAAATCACACATAAACATGTGAACATTTACACCATAATCTAGTGGTACCATGTTATTGATAGAGGGTGACGCGAACAGTAGAAGCAATAAGCAAAATGTTAATCGATCAAGTTAACCCTATTAAATATTAATGCTTCAAACAATCAAACCAAACCAGCTATGAAGACATGTTGAAAATATGCGTCATTTAATGGTTGTACCATCATTTCATAAACTTACTATCAGTTCAGACAATTAGACATCCTAACTGAAGAAAGTGTACAGAACAGATAAAAACCCAAGGTCAACCATGCTTCTTTAGTGTTTACTTTATCGAATGATCAACCAAAATTAATACACTTCATTTAAAGTAGAGTGTGTCACAGTAGTCAAGGCGTTTAGCTTTAAGACACTAAGTAGCAGATTAACAACAAGCTTCACCTAATTTGGTTTAGACAACCATGTAGTATCCAATAATCCTGATAGTTGAATTGCATCTTAAAGTAAAGTATACTGATTCTGTACTTGATAAATGAGTAGATTAGTTCAAACTGATCAAGATATAGAATTAAATAAACATACTTTCTAAAGCTAAACGACATTTTCCGCTTTGACCAAAACTAGATTCAATATAACCATATATACGTTGAATATGATCAGAAGAATCTTCATGTGATTTAATAATTAAATAAGCACGTAAACCAACAAATATTTCCCAATTCGTTTCACGTTTAAATAAGCCATGAACAATACACATTCGTGGATTAACAATTCGTTCAAGTTGACCACGACGAGTTTTAGATTTACATACCTACAAAAACAGTTAGAATTATGACACCAAAAAAAAGATCAAGTATGATAAAGACTATTTGGATTATGGATTTTCCCAAAATAATGCCCGAGTCTTCGGTATAGAAGTATGAATCGTTTAAGTTGGATAAGTGGAAATCTCATCAGTAACCTCCATTGGGTATGATTAAACGATGATTACTTAGAGAGTAATTCTTGTTTTCGAATTGGTGGTATTCAAATGGTGTGGATTCACAAAACCCAAATTATCCTTACAAGAGAAACAAATATATGTCAAAAAGAGCACTTGTAGAGATTAAGTATACCATTAAATAACTACGCTATAATGGTAAAAACTGAAATACTGGAACATTCGACACTCAAAATTACAACTAATGAGAAAAATCTCAACCACTGAATCTAGAGGTTAAGCGTTCACATGCGAGACTGATAGATCCTGGGTTCGAATCTCGCGAGGTGGGGTTGTCAATGAGCACTGTTGAGGAATCCCACACCAGCACAAAACGACCGTCCAGTACATTTTCAGGTTTTCCATGATGGTCTAGCTTCAATTGACTCGTGAATTCAACTATTAAAATTATACTATAATATCCACAAAACCCCTTTCTGATAATTATGAGAAAAAGACTTGAATGGATGTGATACCATATATGAATAATTGCAAAACATCAAAAACTGTTCGGCTTGACTGGAAAAATACTAAGACTTCCAAAATGGTAACTATCATTATATTCAAACTATAAAATAGCCTTTAGTAAACAGAAATTTCTAAAATACAACCTCTATTCATATATGAGGAAGGTCAATACACAATAATCAGTGATAGTGATCTAAGTGAAAAAAAACTATATTCCATCTCTCCTATTCATGTTGTTTAAGTGTGCTCATATATGTAGGGCTTCAGCTGTCAAAATGCATTTGTATAAAGCAAAACAAAACCTCATGAAGGATGCATGTTCGATTGAAATCAATTTTAAGACAAGATTCGATGACACAACAATTTATGAACGAACTAATCGGTAGCAAGTTATGAATTTTGACGCAAAATTCATTCATCCATTTGGCTAAATAGCGTGTTAGCATTTTCGATGATGTCAGTTCGTGATGAAAACCCTAAATCTAATTCCTAACCTTAACCATCAACTATAAATCATAATTCTAATTCCTCACACTGGTTTATAACACTCGTCTAGTCCTAGTTAGTTGGAGGACATGCCCAAGGTCACTTTGGTGTCACTCAAAGGTGGTTTATAAATTACAGTTTCACCGTGTAGAAGTTAATTCCTCTTCATTTTCAACTCCAATACATGATAGCCCGTTATTTAATGTTTTAACAGACCAATTGTCTTAGTAGTATTAGTGATATCGACAGATATAAGTAGTATCTATCATCAATCGAAAGTGAAATGTCTGGGTTTATAAAGATCAAAGAACAGAATGAGAACTAAGAATGATTGTTGTGGGAACAAAAGAACAATGAAGTTTAAGACGATTGGCTTATGTTTGCAAAAGGAACAGTCTAGTTTGAGGCAATTGATAGACATTTTGCAAATGAAGTATTTATTGTATGATTCTCAGATTTTACTAAGATGTTCTATAATTTTGTATTGAAATACATTCAATTATCCCCACTTTGTGTTCTCATTCACTGCATTATGAGTTTACTTGGAAATATTCAAAAGTCAAAGAACCAGATGTTGTGTGTCGTTCATAATTAATAAATCCCACAAACATGAGAGAAGCAATGATACCAGGAAATGAAGGAATCAAAAGTCGAAATACCTTTAATACATTTTATAAGTGTTAAGCAGTTGTGTATAAATTACTGATTATCTGAGTTGACAACCAGTGAGAGGAAAGATAAAGGTTGAAGTACATTGTTTTCAACCAGACTCACATATACGTTTACATAGTAGATTAATTGTCTAAATTACAGCAGGTAGGTAATAAAAGTCCGTCTAGCCCTATAAACCTGAAATAATATCGTTGATCAAGTAGTAATGTGACTGTTAGCTTGTAATGACTCGATATTGTATTCAGTATTTTCCTTTTTTTGGAGAGAGTTACAGCCAATTTCGAAGATCCCAATCAATATATGTCTGTAATACTCAAGAACCTAACTGGTAGAATTAGAGCGTTATTATGTGCTAGACATTGGTTGCTAATGTAAATATCTCAGTTCTACAAGTCATTTGTAACCAGAATAGTTCAATGGTAATATCATATATTGTGAAGTTGCATAATTTTGACTCGAAATCCCATTAGGAAAGATCAGTTTCGTTAAAATTTTAAGTGCACCTTGCTAATAAATATCAACCAGAGCGAAACCCAAGTCTAACGACTTTCAATCACCTAACACATAAATTATCTATACAGAGCCACCTATGTAAATATATGCGAAAATTGATAATACTGTAGTGAACAGAACACGGGTGGGGACAATCGAATGCATTCAACACAAAATAACAGGACTTGTTAATAAAAGTTAACAATCCTAGAGTAAATGCTTAATTTGCAAAATGTTCACCAATTATCTCAAAATGACTCAGACTTCATTGTTCTTGCAATTTCATACAAATTGCATCCTGTTTCGATTCTTTACTGTTCGATCCTATTGTCTCTCTGCTACCAGACCTTTTGTTCACGAATAACATCATATACTACTTATGTCAATATAAGTAACACACATCACAATACTACTTAATCTAAATCATCAATTAAAAGTCTGGCTGATGAAGCATGTTAATGGAAGAGACAAAAACAGAAAACAAAAAAACGTACAAGTAATTTACTTAAATAATTTGATTTATAATTTGAATCATTTAATTGTACTAAAACACGTCCATGTAAAGCGATACGACAACTACTTATTGAATATGTATCTAATTTAGCGCCAATAGCTAATCCATTCATTGGACAAATAATTGGATGTTCAAATTCCAATAATAGATAAAGATTATCATCTAATTTAGAAGTAATAAGGGGAGAAAAACGGAAAAAAAATATGAGATTAATACAAGAGTTTTACTTTTAATATAAGATAAAATTCAATTGAGAAGGAATGTCACAGGTTGAAATCATGAGTCAGTTGAAGCTGGACCACCATTGAAAACCTGGAAGCACTGGACGAATGATTTATCCCATTTCACTTAAATGATAATTCTTTTCCTTAATAACTTGGTACGTTTGGACAACATAAGAAATGAAGATTTCACATTATTCTTCATGTTGCAGGAATTAAGTAGGCGAATATCACATATATCAATTAATATGACCGGGAAATAGAAATACACAAGGTACGACTAATAATCAATAAAGTAGTGTAAAAAAAAGTCAATCGAGGTATACGCACAGTATGCACATATGCCAATAAGAGACTGATCAATTTCAGTCCTAAAACATCAATGGGAAGATTCAAGTAAAACAATATCAAGTGAATTCAAATTCACCTCACTGCACAAGTAAGTGGCTATCAGGACTCAGTAGCTAAGTGGATAACGCGATGGCGTTTGAAGCGAACGGTACTGAGTTCGAGTCCCAGAGTGAACATCAACTCTGAGATGCAGGTACATCCAGCTGACAAGTCGCAAACAGGACGAAACGGGCGTCTTGGATTCCACTGCTAGCCACTATCCATCTTTGCTTATAATGCTTGTGAATTAAGGCAATATCGAGGCATACGCACAGTAAGCACATATGCCAATAAGAGACTGATCAATTTCAGTCCTAAAACATCAATGGGAGGATTCAAGTAAAACAATATCAAGGGATTTGTAAATACGTTTAAATTAGCACTCCTATAGATATAAAAGGATGACAAGTGAAATTTCAGATGGTTTCATATTACCATTTAATCATTGCCAATCCACAAATTGAATCCCCTGGTACGGGAGAGAGTGGGGAGAGTCCGCTCTCCCTCTCACATGGCCACGTGCGTACAACCACTGCCAGGGAAGTTCTACTCACGGCCTTCTCGTGACATTACTGTTGTTTACAAAATTCAGAGGATGAAAAGCAAATGTCCGACGCTTTCATCGGTTAGGTGGACACGGAGAGTCCATCTAGGGGAGTTGGAAAACCCTCATTCCAAACCAAGCATGCACATGGATCCTAAAGGCACAAATGGCGTATGAACCTATTGTTGGTCACTGGTTACTATGGAACTGCATCTCCTGACGTTGCTTCACTGCTTTGTGGATCAAACCTTTAGGTTGAAGGCTCCAAGTGTGTCCCCCCTAAGAAAACCATCTACTTCGGTTTAGGCACTCGAGCAATTTTATAGCCCTCACATAAATAGAATGATTTATGTGGTGCATATCTATTTTGTATCTCCTTGTACCAATGTTTATGTGTTTGAATAAATAAATTTAAATATACAAAATGGAACTGTTTATGAATTATTCCAAGTCAATTGTATCTTATATTAATACATAGAAACATAATAACTAACTAACTAACTAACTAACCTGTTTCATTAGAAATCTCATCAACATACTGATACATTGTTGTTTTATCAAATTCATTTGAATTTTCTATACCATTTAAATGTTTATCCGATTTGATTTTAGTAAAAAATGTTAAACTACTTAATACAGTTTCTTGACTAATAAATATATGTAAACGTGATTGACTTTTAATAGATGATTTAAAATAGGATACTTTTTTAATACAAGTTAATATACATGCATAACATGGAATTAAATTCTCTGTTGAAGTTATATCACCAATAAGACCACGTTCTAATAAATTTGAATCTAATTGTGATACACAAATACCAGCACGATCACCCTAAAAGATTAAAAAAAAACTCAGATGATGATGAAAACATTAGATAAGAAGGTTCAAATCAACTTGTTTTATTTTATTTTATTTTAACACATAGATATTGGTACAAGGAGGCACCAAATAGTTATGCGCCACACAAATCTCATTCGATATGTGCGAGGACTGTGATACTGCTCGGGTGCCCAAACCAAAGCAGGTGGTTTTCTTAGATGGCCACTCCCCGAGCCTTCGACCTGAAGGTCTGATCCACAAGGCAGTGGAGTATCGTAAGGAGATGCAGTCTCATGGTATCCAGTGACCAACGATTGGTTCATACGCCATTTGTTCCCACAGGATACTGGAGCCCATGTGCACCATTGGTTTGGAATCCGGTTAAAGCGCCGGACATTCGCTTTTCGTCCTCTCAATTTCGTAAACAACACCCCCGCCACGAGAAGGCAGTGAGTAGGAGATCGTACTTCTAGGGATCAGTCCTATAGTACGTATCACCAGGACGTCAAACAAACTTGACCCTGGCCAACCAACCGCGATGATGAACAGTGCGGCCTGGTCCTGAGCGTGAAGCGGGTGTGTGGCTGTCCGTCTGGCTGGCTTCTCACGAAGTCTGTTCGTGCGGACTCGGCCGCCTCCTTGTCCGATCGTCCAGCCGAATTGAGGAGTGCATGCGAAAGCAACTGGTCAATTTAGTGAGAACGATAATTTACGGATGACCTATGAGCGACGCTAAATTGACCTTGAGAATGGACACCTTATTTATTTATTTATTTGAACAACACCCCCGCCACGAGAAGGCAATGAGTAGGACTTCCCTGGCAGAGGCTGTATACGCGCGGCCGTGTGAGAGTATTTCGAGAGGGAGAGCGGACTCTCCCCACTCTCGGCCGTACCAGGGCATTCGGGGGGCAATGGACACCTACTGACTAAGAGTAAATAAGGATCATAAATCTTGGGAATGTCCACCTAATAACTAGGACCAAATAAGGCTCATAAACTTGTGAGAGGAATTAGAACTATGATTTACAGTTGATGGTTAAGGTTAAAAATTAGATTAAGAGTTTTCATCATGAACTGGTATCAGCTATAATGTCATAACTTTATTTAACCAAATGGATGAGTGAATTCCGTGCCAAAATCCGAGACCTGTTAACTTATAGCTGATTGGTTCGTTCATAAATTATAGTCTCGCCGTTACTTTAAATGGAAAACTAATACTTAAAAGCAAGAAATAATAATTGATATATAGATAGTGACTAGCTTTGTGAGGGAATTCTCCGAGTTCTATTGAGAAGCCATGACCAGTGAAGCTAATCCATGTCAGATAGAGACAGGTATTTACTTCAGTATAATGGAATATGGTTGCGCGATTTCGTGGATTGGTTGAGGTTAGACAATAACACTGTTGAATACAGGCACAGTGGTCTAGATATTAAGCGTCCACACGCGAGACCGAAGGCCCTGGGTTCGAATCCCACGAGCGAGATCGTGGATGAGCACTGCTGAAGAGTCCCACAACAAGACGAAACGGCCGTCCAGTGCTTCCAGGTTATTATTGGTGGTCTAACATCAATCGGTTCATGATCTCAATCAAAAACTTAATCATCTTCAAAGCCCCATTCTGATATAGATATATACCAGAAGTATTGAAACTATGCTATTATGGTATTGCTTAATGCAAATGCAGTAGGTCAAATCTCAACTTACCAATATCATTTTATAGAAACATATTCAATAACTTATGATTGTTTGAAGCTCAAGTGAAAAACAAAACAAAAACACATCTAATTGTCTTTTAACAGTTACTAACTTATTATTTATATATTTTTTACATATATCTGAGAATGGAATCTAAGATGTGTGTGTTACTGTCTATTTGGAATTCATCGACTGGACGAACCAGTTATAGTGGATACAATCCGTTTAGGATGCATATATAGTTATAGAAATTGATCGTTTGTTAACCTGGATATCAACATAGAGGAAATGCCAAATTCTTAAAGATACATATCAACTTATATTATGGAACTATTTTTAAAAAAAAAACTTACCACAAATTGTTAATTCAGTAACTTGGTAAAAAAAAGAGACGAACTGTATAAAACTTCTTGGAATAACTAATAAGTAAAATCTAATAAGTTTGATTATGTTTGAGAAGATATGCAGAAAAAAAAACATTCACTAACATCTTCATGTATTACACATTGGATAAGAGAAAAACAATAAATGATCAGACAATAGTAATTTAGAGTTCTGCGTACTAAACTGTTGACAGTGAATATTATATGTTGATAGATATCGCGAAGTGGGCTGATGTTTACGAAATTTAGGGGACGAAAAGTTAATGTCTAGTGCTTTAACCGGACTATCGTAACCAACAGCTGAAGACTGTGGGTGACATGGCTCAGAATTGATCACAATGGCATAGGTGTATACACTCTTTGTCTTCCTTTAAACTATGAGATTAAAATTGCTTCATACCCTTCTTTGTATGAACTAATTCTTTCTTCCTGTACTATATCCTTATATACGATCCTTCTTTCATATATTACGTATCATTGAATTAACTATTTCTATGAATATGGTGTTCATCTTGTTGTGCTAATCAGGTGTGGCAACTTGAACCGATGCATATATGTGCCTGGTCCTACGTTGGAGATGACTTTGACTATAACATTTTACTAGATTTAGTAATCTGTTAAACTGAGTAATAATAATATTTAACTAAATAACATACTGGTCCAATTGATTGAATTGGTTGACGAAATACTTGAATAGATTTAATCTTCTTTTGAATTCGTTGATAAGGTAAACCAATGGTCTATTAAGATAATGAATAGAAGACAAATTTAGAATCTTAAGTTTAAAAAAACAAAAAGCAAGTCATACATTAACATTGAAACGAAAATTATAAGTAAAGACCAATCTTCTAGTGTAATAAGACCATTAAATCACTCGTGTAAAAGTCACTGACAAGTGGTCTGAGTCATGTTGTTAGGTGTAGACTACCTGGTTAGAATCCGCGAGATGATAGCAACCAATGGTTAGATACCTTGAATGACATGGCTCAAAATCGTTTGCAATGGAACAAGTGCATCCATTAATTTGTGTTCTCCCAAATCCTGATCTTAATTATTCATGTCCCTTATTTTTCTCTTTCCAAATTTTCATTGGATTACACTCCTTGAATAACATCTTCAAACCGTAATGTTTTCGATCACTGCTTATACTTTTACTACCTCTACCACTATGGGATTTGAATCGACAATTGTATCTCTGTGATAATGTGGTATGGCAACTCGAAGTGATGTACGTACGTACGAAGTTCTACGTTGTTACTGACTGTCAGAATTGATTATGTAGGGCAAATTATTTACGACATAAATGATACCACCAGTTGGAGAACTACTATAAACTGAAACGTTTATTACATAGTTTCGTTTCGTTTTTTCCAGGGTCCCTCAACAGTACAGATTTTAATTTGAACTAATGCTGATTAGAAACGAATTTTTATTACTCAAAACAATGAAGAGTAGAATATAATTGTGAATATCTAGAACCATGGGTCTGGAAACTATTTTGTTTTTCAATGTGTTGCTTAGTTCCACATACAGTACTAGATTGCTTGCGTAGTCGACACAGAGATAATATGTCATTTCGTGAGACAGGAAAATACACCCTGTAAATACAATTGTTTCCATCATCACTGTACAAGATGTTACAAATTTTTTGAAGTGCTACTATCATACAATTTATAACGTCCTGAATTGTTGCATTAGACTCGTATTAATAAAAACAGTACGCTCTTGAACATCATCATATTAAGTAGGATTGACGACACTTTTTTGAAATTCAACAAAATATTGAACAGTATTCTCACCGTCGAAATCCTCTATCACTCATGGACGGGTGGCTTGTTGTTTAGAAATCGAGTAACTGTACCCACAAACTTACGCCGTAAGGTGATGTTAAAACTGTATACTGCACACCCAGGGGTAGCACGGATGAAGGCACTTGCATGTGACTATGTATATTCGCCGAATATTGATGCTCAAATCGAAGAATATGTTCAAAGATGTTCCGCGTGTGCAAAAGCCATCAAAGCCCCTTGCAACATAGAAATGCAGAGTTGGGAGACACCAACAAATCCGTGGTCAAGAGTGCATGTGGATTTCGCCGGTCCCATAAACGAGAAACAGTACTTGATGATCGTTGATGCCTTCTCAAAATGGCCAGAGATCCACTACATGAAGTCTCTTTCGACAAAAGCTACTATCGAAAAACTGAAACAAGTATTCAGCTGCTTTGGGTGTCCAGAGAGATAGGTGTCTGATAATGGACCACAGTTTACCTCCGCTGAATTTTCGAAGTTCTGCGCCGCCAACACCGTTAGGCATATGAAGACATCCCCATACGATCCGCAGTCTAACGGTTTAGTTGAAGTTCGTCAATACGTTTAAAAGAGCACTGCTTAAAGCCGAGGGAAAAGGGGAAATAGAAGAGATGATTCAAAGATTTTTACAAACCTACCAACACCCAAAACAGCAAGAAATAATCAAGAAAGTCCAGCAGAAGCAATTTTTTGAAGAAAGATTAGAACACCTATAGAGCAAATGAAACCAAAACCTAGAGCCAACCTCTGCAAGAACAAACGAACGGAACACCTATTCAACAAGCGACATGGTACATTGACCAGAAGGTTTAGGGTGGGACAAGCGGTAATAGCAAGAGATTTCACACGAGTAAAGTCAACCCGGAAGTTTGGCATCATAATACGAAAAAAAGGGGAAAGTTATCTATGAAGTAAAAGTTTGACAAAAGATATGAGCGCGACGTGCAAACCAGATACAGACAATCAGACAAGAGCGGGACACAGAAAATGCTATTAAATCAAATATACCATTAAATATATTAACTGAGTGGGATAATGAAATTAAAGATAACCCTAATAATAATAAGACGTATAAAACACTCCCAACAAGGTCCGAACGCATCAGACCGAAAGCTAATTGAACAAAAATAAACCCTAAGGATCGTTCTTATCTTTAATGCGTCAAAAAAGGAGGTCTTATATTCTAGTGAAGTCTTTTTCTCAAACCCCCGGGAAAGAATAATGAAGAACAGTAAAGTATAGCATGAATCGACAAATTGTAATACTGAATGTCGAGTAATCCCAAAAGCACATAGCCTCTTTATGTAGTAAGCCAGACGGAAAACTTTCTTCGATAATAGTAAAACATGAGAAGACCAAAAGAGATCAAAGGAAAAAGTAACAACAAGATAATTGACCTTCTACACTGTGTTTATCAAAGAGTCTCCAATGGCACAAACATTATGGGATCCCAACATGGTGTTTAGATGCCGTTCATGTCTCATGCTAAAATTAACAGCTTTACATTTAGACGGATTAAGTTGTTGGATAGTGCGTACTTATCACACTAATTGTCAAATTGGTTGTAGATGTTCTGAACGATTATACAAGTGCAAATTGTGTAACTATTTGTGGACCTCTCTTCTGTCACCGATCGATATTCAGTAAATATTTGATATCTAGTAATTAATGCTACTGTTTTGTTTTTCTTCAGAATATGACTACCGAAATAACCAAAGAGAATAAACGGAACAAATCACTTCGGTATTTGTATATTGTAATTCCCTTGGTCGTCTCATTCTTTCTTATGTGTGTGGGTTGTGTGATTTGGAAATGGTTGCATAAAAGAAGTAATGAATGATTCTCAGAAATGTCTTGGGATAGAATCAAAAGCAGAAATATAGTCCAGAAAAGCGCATCGAACATACTTCTTACCCTTTTCCGAACTGAACACTATATTGTGATGCAGAACAGCAACGGCATCTAAGGTGCTTTTGCATCTGTAAGTAAATTGACACGGATCAATGTGCTCTTTTATTGCAGGTTGAAGTGGGAGTATCAATAACTTTTCCATTGTTTTGTGGAGAGATGAAGTTATTGCTATGGGTCTGAATTCCACATTCTTATCACCAGATACTTTCTTAGATATAGGGATTATCTTTATCTTTCTCCACATTTTCGGTATGAGATTAGCTGAGAAGGATCTGTTAAATATAGTTGTGAACGGATAACATAGGACGTCAGTACATTTTTTAAAAAGGAGGTTTAGGATACCATCAGATCCTAAACATCGGGATGAATTAAGTGACTGGAGACATCTTCGGACATCAGTTTCAGTGAAACTAGGAACACAGCTATTCTTTAAACCTGTGGATGAAGGGAGCATTACATCAGATGACTGACGTATAGAAGACTTAGTTAAGTTACGAACCATAACCAACTGAATGTTCGTAACTTAACTAAGTCTTCTATACGTCAGTCATCTGATGTAATGCTCCCTTCATCCACAGGTTTAAAGAATAGCTGTGTTCCTAGTTTCACTGAAACTGATGTCCGAAGATGTCTCCAGTCACTTAATTCATCCCGATGTTTAGGATCTGATGGTATCCTAAACCTCCTTTTTAAAAAATGTACTGACGTCCTATGTTATCCGTTCACAACTATATTTAACAGATCCTTCTCAGCTAATCTCATACCGAAAATGTGGAGAAAGATAAAGATAATCCCTATATCTAAGAAAGTATCTGGTGATAAGAATGTGGAATTCAGACCCATAGCAATAACTTCATCTCTCCACAAAACAATGGAAAAGTTATTGATACTCCCACTTCAACCTGCAATAAAAGAGCACATTGATCCGTGTCAATTTACTTACAGATGCAAAAGCACCTTAGATGCCGTTGCTGTTCTGCATCACAATATAGTGTTCAGTTCGGAAAAGGGTAAGAAGTATGTTCGATGCGCTTTTCTGGACTATATTTCTGCTTTTGATTCTATCCCAAGACATTTCTGAGAATCATTCATTACTTCTTTTATGCAACCATTTCCAAATCACACAACCCACACACATAAGAAAGAATGAGACGACCAAGGGAATTACAATATACAAATACCGAAGTGATTTGTTCCGTTTATTCTCTTTGGTTATTTCGGTAGTCATATTCTGAAGAAAAACAAAACAGTAGCATTAATTACTAGATATCAAATATTTACTGAATATCGATCGGTGACAGAAGAGAGGTCCACAAATAGTTACACAATTTGCACTTGTATAATCGTTCAGAACATCTACAACCAATTTGACAATTAGTGTGATAAGTACCCGACCGTTGTTGCTACCTTGACGTGGTGGTCGGGCTTGCCTATCGTGATGAAGCAACCGAGCTATACTGGCTGGAACAACCGTTCCTCAAGGTCCTACCATGTCAGACAGGTCGGTTGAAGAGCGGTAAGACTAAAAGCAACAAACCCAAGGTCCGAAGGCGAAGTCGTACTGCTGACTGTACAGAGGTGTGACAGCAGTAAGGTGTTTCCTTCAGACAACCAGCATGACAGCGATGCTGCCTTCCCACAAGGAGGGGTGGGGTTAGAAAAGGTCGACCCTAAAAATGCACACCTCGCCTTATCCCACGGATATCCGTCTCCGGCGGTAAGGTCTCAATAAGTACGGAGCTAACACAAAAATTACCCATAACAAGGTCGTGTGTGACCGACCTCAAGCAGTTGTCCCTTGGGCACTGCGGTCACGCTCTCAGGTCACTAAGACCACCTTTAATCCAAATTCCTTTTCAGGTACCTCCAGAAGAACCCTTCCACGGTGTGGGCAACCGGGAAGTGAAAACCGCCCTCATACCTCTAACAGCACTCAAGACCACTGTATTCATAATCAACCTTCCCCTTCAATTCCTATTATTCCTCCTACATCGACTTTCAACTTTAAATTTCCTCTC